CGGTGAAAGCGACGGTGAGGCGATTCGATGAGCACCGGTTCAAGCAGCGGTGAAAGCGACGAGAGCTGTGGGGAGTTGGACGAGACCGGCGAGAGCAGCGGGGAGAGCGACGAGAGCTGGGGAGATGGTGGAGACGGGCGACAGAATGGAAGGTTTGTGACGAGAAGTTCGTAGCAGCGTGGAGAAGAGGAGCCCGGATTGGATTTCAAAATCCAGCCCATTTACTATGGATTTCAAAATCCATTGTTTACGGGATTTTAAAAAGTAGACGGGATTCCAAATCCAGCCCATTTAGCAAACCAAACAAGGGATGGAATGGATTTCAAATCCAAATCCCTCCAAATCCCTCCAAATCCCTCAAACCAAACGCACCCTAAGTTGTCGGAACTGGTTTTCCATTATAATAGTCTTAAGTTTCTGATTATGAATTGGGGTTTCTTGGCTAGTTAGATATTCTCAGTTGAGGGTTTTCGTTTAATGGCTCGTTAAAACCTTTTGATCGAGCTATTTTTTTATGGAAACTTTTCTACCCTAATCAATTAGATCTATATCATGCATGTTTGATACGATTGAGTTCAGATGGCTCTTTTTTTGTGGACAAATGTTAAGTTGTAGTAATTTTCCCATTTTGTTGTGTTCAAGTTCTCCATCCATTGAGTATACTCGTTTAAGCTATACACACACGTGCGATACCCAAGGATTATAAACTTTCTTTTTATTATGTCAACTATTGTGGTATTCGTGCATAAAAGATATCGGTCTGATAATAAACAACTGGGTGATCAGAAAGCAGCCTTTCAATCAAAACAACAGTGCCACATTATGTTGTAAGAGGATCGATGGCAGTCTTTAAAACACTGAATGCAATGAATGACATGAATTATGCAATAAACCTTAAGCTTGAGAGCCTCTATGGGTCCTATTTTTGAGACAACGTGATTTTTTATAAGTTTGGAATATCCCTGACATAATTAATCGTTCTCTAGTTCACATATATAACTAATGGAAAAAAATGACCGTATTTTTATGGTAACCACAGGGAATGAGTGACGTAAGATTGAAATCCAAAACCATCGAAAGCTTAACGAAAGAGTAAATATT